TATTGATCAGCTTAAAGAGGATATTTTCTATACATTCAAAGACAAGCTTGAGGCATCTCCTGGCTCTGATATAATTAAGCAATTGGTGAATGATATGGAAGGGTTGGATCCTTGAACTTGGGCTGAAAGTATTTCACATAGCTTAAGTTCCAGTCTGACGGTTTAGCTTATCAGCATAATTTTGATGCTCGCAGACACGTGTTGCTTTTATAGAAAGCTGAGGCGTGTGAAGGAGAATCATACAGCCTCTATGGCACTTTTGAAGTTTGTGCATAAAGCAAACACTGTGGGGAGCAGAGAACGGGAAGAGTGTTTAAGGACGGGTCCTTTATTCCCTCACAAAGAAGCCTGGCAGGGTAGGTTTCTAGAGGTGGAGGGGGACCTTCACCCTTTTGAGTTGCAGGTAAGTCCTAATCACATTCTCATGCTATTGTTCCCCACTTTACCCTCATACATGGTGCTGCTTTGAGGCTGTCTCTTACAAGCACATAGCTGATTGCTGTGTGGCCGGCAGCTTTTACTATAGAAGCGGACGTTCTATTGGCTCTCTCTCTTCCTGCCGCGCCATCCAATTTCTCTCATGCCTTCCCCAAATAGTAGTTGGGCATGGGAAGACTTTATCTCCCATGCCTGGATTTGAAAGGCTTGCCATAAGCCTCAGGTTCAGGCTTGGCTGTATTAATTTGGTCATTAAATTTGACATGACAGCTTTCAATGTATAGAAAATAACCAATTAGCCACTATAGCTCTTTTGAATTTTATATATAAAACAAAGGGGGGAATTGTGGGAAACAAAGATTTTTCCCAAGTTATCTCCCTCAAATATATGCCAAACTTAGCTGCTTGCTACACATGGCAGATGACTATACACTCAGAGGTCAACAGAATTAGGTCAGGGGTTATTCTCCCTAAGGGTTATCAGCCATCTAGAGCAAGCAGTCATCACTGTTTATCCTACAAGTAGGAACCACTCCCTTCTGATAAGGATAGTAGTTGACTATTTCCTTCTAGTAGACCCCAGAGAGGTCAAGCCCACCCAAGGGGGACCAAGGTTAGGCTGCCATCATGAATCTAGGGTCCGCCCATCTTGTCACATGTATGCTTCTAATTCCTCCCCTCCCTATCATGTGTACAGCCCTAGCTCATCCCCTTTCTGTTATATCTAGGCCCATTGTATATCCCCCCCTCCTATTGCTTGTATGCCTATTGTACTGCCCCTTACTGTGATGTGTGGTTACCTGCAATCATGCCCCCCTAAGTAGATATAACCCCTGGTTAGCAATAAATGGGGTCTCCAGCCTCTTGCCAGGTCTCTACCCAGCTTGCTCTCTCCAGCGGTCTCCGCCCCACCTCGCCTTGGCCCATGCTGTGCGTGGACCTGGCTGGTTAAGATCATGGCCATCCAAGAGGTGAGTATGCTACCATGAAAAAAAAAAGTGTGACACAAAAAAACCTGATTTGTGACAGACAGTTTTGCCACCACAACAATGCACCTGCACATATAGCCATCTCAGTGTGCAAGTTTGGGGTTAAAAACAGCATATTCCTCTTTTGCCCCAAACATCTTACTCACCTGACCTCGTTCCGTGCAACTTCTTTTTGTTTCCGTGAATGAAGGGACATGAAAAGACAGTGATTTGACAACATAGAAGAGGTGAAGAAAAATAAGGGAGGTGCCGTCAGTCATCCAAAGGGATGAGTTTGAAAAATATGTCCAAGAATGGAATCACAGATTTGACAAATGTATTAAGTGTAATGGTGAGTAATTTGAAGGTGGTAAGGTTGTTTTGTAAAAACATTAAATACAGAGCTTTGGGGGGGTGGATTCTGGTTTTGAGGGGGGTACCCCTTTGTATATCCCAAGGAAAAAAATGTTTTAAGAAAAATTGCCTCAATCAAAAATAGATGCTAAATTCTTTAAAAAAACACCACCACTTGTGGTTCTGGAACTAATTGACCAGGTCAGTCAAATAACAGCTCTAAAATTTACTAATTTCTCACTATGGGCCAGGTACTGTGCCAAATGCTGTATGTGATTTGTTTCATTTCGACTTCACAGAAGACCTACAAGGTAGAGAGCGCTTCTAAGCCATTTAAGAGGAGAAAAGGTGTACTTCACTAACACGCCTAAAGTCACACAGGTAATTGGTAAAACCCGGATTGGAACTTCAGTAGTTTAACCTCAGTAGTAACCCATGTTGGAACAGTGGGTTAAGCATTTAGCTGCTAACCATAGAGTCAGTAGTTTGTACCCACCAGCCACATCATGGGAAAAAGATGAGGCTGTCTGAAAACAGCCTTGGAGACCCTATGAGTAGTTCCAACCCGTTCTATAGAATAGGGTAGCTGTGAGTCAGAATCAACTTGGCAGCAGTTGGGGGCGGGGGGGGGGGGGGTTGTTTTTATTTTAACTCTCTGGAGTTAGCATATGTTCTACGTCTAACCAATGACTCTGCTGCTGTCTCCCTGTGCCGAGGACCCATCCAGACAGCTAGTTTATGCTATTTACTTACCTCTTCATTCTCTGTGGACAGTTCCTGTACTGCACATAGACCTGAGGGGGCTGGTTCTACCTCTTGCTCCCCCCTTTCTTCCACTGGCTTCTTCTCAGCTACCAAGGAGTTTAGTTTGGCTGACAGCTCTTCAGCCTCTCTGCAGGGCTCTCTCTCTTCTTTCGCAGCTTCAGTTTCTTTACCCTTTTGCTGCCTGGTTGCAGATGGAGGGCAGCAGCCTTCAGTTGATTCGTTGCTACTAATGGACAATGGCTCCATTAAATAAGCTACCTGCAATCATAGTTTATTATTAGATGCTTAAGAACATCAGTGGAAATCAACATTCATATATTAGCAATGCCA